AGAGCACGGCACGGAAGAGAACCTCTGGAAAGCAAAGATAATTTAGTGTCAGGTTAACATTAGACAGTTACCAAATTAAATATTAGAAAATCAAATCCTGAGACAAAATGAATGTCCTATCTTCAGATTCAAAAAGAATTGTTCCCGTGGCTTCTTGTACTGGGTTTTAAGCGAGGTGTGTTTCATGGAAGGAAGGGGTTGCTTGGCCTTTGTAGGATGCTCACCCAGGTTTGAAATAAAATTTTACCAAAACAGCAGTAGGAGAGAAGCCTAACAAATTTATATTTGGTCAAAGTTTACATGGGAGACAGGAGCCTACAGAAATGAAGTCACAATGAGGCAAGGAAACCTGGGCATTTTTTGCTTCCATTCAGTGATGCTTAAATTTGTCAATATATAGAAGTCATGTGACTGACAAAAAGTGTGATCTAATTGTTACAGACAGAGGTGAGCCCCCCTCTAACCAGGTTCTAATTGGCCTCTGCACTGTGTTCATTTCTCCCAGATGAAGAAGAGGGTCTTGTGACCTACTACCAGATAAGACAGGCCACAGACTTCTTATAGCAAGCAGCCTTTCATAAGAGGACCACAGGAAGTTAGAATCCCATCTCTAGGATGATGAATGTCTTCATCTACCTCAGGGTTGGAAGAGCAGGGAGTCCAGGTTTTGTGGCTGGGAAGGTTCAGTGTTACCTCTGAGACCCTTTCCTTTAGATCAACAGGAGGCACCATATTCTAGGAGGTCCTATTTAGAACCCCGTAAATAGTATGGAGTATCTTTTTATAACAATTAAAAAATAGTATACAAAGTATTAGGTATTGCAATGATTATTCTATTTTTTTTTTTTGAGGCAGAGTTTCTCTGTGTAGCCTTGGCTGTCCTGGAACTCACTTTGTAGACCAGGCTGGTTTCGAACTCACAGAGATTCATTCGCCTGTGTCTGCCTCCCTAGTACTGGGACTAAGGGCGCGAGCCTCCACCATCAGGCACTGTGATGGTATTTTCAAGGTGTGCTTTGGTAGATTCGCTTTTTTTTTTCATTTCCTCTAGTCTTTGCTAACCTCAGTTCCCCCTCCTTTTGCTTCCTCTTTCTTCTCCCATGTGAATATATGTATGCATACGTGTGCACACACATACATTGCAGGTTATTATCCACATACGAGAAAGAGCACAGTGCTTTTGTGTTTCTGAGTTTGGCTCACCTAATTTAATAGTATACTTTCTAAATCCATGTATTTTCAATAGATCTTATGATTTCACCTTTTTTTCTTTTTTAAGTCTGAATAAAGTTCTGCTGTGTACACATTTGCATTATGTGTTCTTTTGTTTATGTCATATAGGCTCATTCCATTCCCTTTCTATTGAGAATAGAGAGCAGCAATAAATATGGATGTGGAAATATCTCTGTGGCAGGGTATGCAGTCTTTTGCACATATGCCCAGGAGTGGTCTAGTGGATCATATTGTAGATTTACTTTTAATTCTCTCTGTCTTACTTCCTCCTTCTTTCCCTCCTCCCCCTTAGTCCCTCACTCTGTCCCTCCCTCTCTCTCTTTCGGTTTTTCAAGACAGGATTTCTCTGAGCAACTCTGGCTATGCTGGAATTAGCTCTGTAAACCAGGCTGGCTTTGAACTTATAGAGATTCACCTACCTCTACCTCCCAAGTGTTGGGATTAAAAGTGTGCACCACCACCGCCCAGCTCTATTTTTCGAGGAACCTCCATATTGTTTTCCCAATGGCTTTACTAGTCTGAAGTCCTACTAGCAGTAAATAAATGTTTATTTTTCTGCATATTTCCACCACCAGCTTTATTAGATTTCTTTTATTTTTAATGACTTCTATTATGTCTTGAGGTTATAATATAATTACATCATCTCTCCCTTCCCTTTCCTCCTCTAAACTTTCCAGCATAATCTCTTCTTGCTTTCTTTCAAATTCATTATACAACTCAGCAGATTGTATTAATGTAATTAAGAACACTTACACACACACATACACATATATATCTATATACAGTCAGATGTCTGGATGCCAGCTGTTTTGACTAAGACGAGGTGGTATCTCAAAGTAGTTTCTGTTTGCATTTCCCCAGTGACTACAGATGCTGAGTTCTTTAAAATACTTTCTGGCCATTTATATTTCCTCTTTTGAGAACTGTCTGTCCATTTTATTTGCCTATTTGTTAATTGACAGTTTTGAAGACATATTTATTTTGTACTAAATGGTGTGTGTGTGTGTGTGTGTGTCTGTGTCTGTGTATCTGTGTATGGGTATGTATGTCTAAGTGCTGGTGCCTGTGAGGTCAGGGTGTTGGACCCCTCTGGAGATGGATTATAGGCAGTTGTGAGCTGCTCAGCGTGGTTCTGAGAATTAGATTTGGTCCTCCACCAGAACGGCATGCACTCTGAGTTGCTGAGCCATCTCTCCAGCCCCAGCTTTGTTTTTAACTTTTGCAGTCCTCTTTCGATTTTGGATAGGAGCCCCTTGTCTGAAATATAGATAGCAAATGTTTTCTCCCATCCTGTGCGCTGCCTGTATGCTCTGCTGATAGTTTCCCGTGCTGTGCAGATCTTTTAACTTCACGTCTTCTCCTTTGTTGGTTCTCAGAGGGGTCTAGTTCCTGTTCTACTGGAATTCTGTCTTGAACTCTTTCCTGAGGCTGTTTCCTAACGTGTACCCCCACTATTCCTCCTATCAATTTTGGCAGGTTGGACTTTCAGTTTGATCCACGTCTAGTTGTTTGTAGCTTATCTTGATCTGGGACCTCACTATTCTGGGGTAAACTCTGGCACCCCTGGAACCAAAGATCCAAAGGCTGGGTCTCAATTTATAGAACTCGGGGAGATCTGAGATCAAAACCCTAATACCGGAGTGAACTCAGGGAACCTTGCCATCAAAGGCTTGATGGCCTGTGATATTATGGGTCCTGTTCCATAGCAGACTCTGGAAGTGCTGTAGCCAAGCACCCAGCCTTGCAACAAAACTTTGGAACTACTAGTGCCGAACATTTGTTCCTATGGTGAACACTGTTTCAGATGAATAGGTTTGTGTTTATGCATGGTTTCAAAATATTTAAAATAATAATAAATTCGCAAGGTCCAACAGTTTCAATAACAACAGTTTGTGGTATATAATGCCACATACCTTGGTAATCTAGTTGTGGCAAGTACAGATCTTTTTACTACAACTATAATTACTAATATTAACTCCCATATCACACAGCACACAGTAATGATATCCATGTACATACATGCTATTTGTGATATGAATACAATTTAAGGAGGCTGCAGCAGAATTCAAGAGGTTTCAGAAACGGCTTGAAAAAAGAGTTGGTATTGATAACAGATCAACAGCAGAGAGGGGAAAGACCAAACTGGGGTTCAAGGGCAGGAAATAATGTGTTTAGGTCAAGGTCCAGATGGCCAGCAGGTGAATGGGCAGGCAGTCAAGTAGGCCAGGTAAACAATGGGAGACTGAGCTAAAGCAATGCTCCTGGGATAGGAAGGAGAGAGGGCCCTGATGCTCTTAGCCCTTTCCTCGCATGCCAGGGATCAGATGATAGGCATGGTTTGGGACCATGCCATCATAGGGTGGGGTATCTGTCACTTTATGGGATCCAGGTGCTGAAGTTACACCCTACCCTTCGTCTGATAAGTACGATAAGCGCTTGGGCCTGGTTTCACTGATATGATTTTAATACACCCAGGTGCTCCAATAGTTTCAATTCACCCCCAGAAAATTTATAAGGTGTCTCTGTTTCTAATTCCAGGAATAAGTCACTTATATTTATAAGCCTGTGTTGCTGGGTGGTATGTGATAGATAGTGGAGCTTCCGGGGCCATTGAGTGTGGCAAGCTTTCTTGTCCAACTATCTTCGGATCACCAGCCCCCACTCAATGACACCAAGACTTATTGTTCATGAAAGCTTGGCCTTAGCTTAGGCTTTTCTTTAAAGCTAGCTCTTATAACTTAATTAATCTGTTTCTGTTGATCTGCGTTCTATCATGTGGCTTAACTACCTTTCTTCTTTCTGTATGTCCCACTTGTTCTGTGTCCTGTTGGCATCTTCCCAAGCACCCCTCTGACTTCCTCTGCCTCTGCCAGAAGTCCCGCCTATCCTCTCCTGCCTAGCTATTGGCCATTCAGCCCTTGATTACACCACTCCCTCAATATAGCTTCACGCAGTGTACAAATATCCCACAACAATTGAGGGGCTACAGTCATCCTTTTCTCTCAAAATGAGTCAGAAGCTCTTTACAAGACGGCAGCTCCTAGAGAAATGCACAACCTGGAAAACCATTTTTTAAAAATAAAATATGGAGTAACTTATAGTAGTACATAGCCTGATCTTTTGACGCCAGGGAACATTAGAACCAAAGCTCTTGTTGCTCAGGGAACTCTGAGGTCACAACACTGGTTGAAGAGTGAACTCTGGGACCAGTGTAGTGAAAATGCTGTCTCTTCATCACTCTGTAACCGCTGGAATCTGGTGCAGCAGGAATTCTGCCACTTAGGAGTTCAAAACACCATTTCCTGAGTGAACTCTGTAACCACTGAGGTCAGGCCCAGCCATCTGGGGAATTTTAGAGCTACAGGGCCCACTTCCCTGCCCTGAACAGAACTCTGAAGTCAGGGACGAGGAGCCTAGGTTCTGCCATGAACTCTGAAACCTCTAGGTTCTGGGAGAACTGCATGTCACTTGAGTGAGAAAGCAGGGGTTCCAGGGGGTACTCTGTCATCCCTGGATCCAAAGGACTGCTTCCAGGTGAACTCTCCATCCCCTGAGGTTAAAATGGTGATCCAGAGCTATCACTGGGACAACTGGTCAAAGTCCTGGTGCTGTGGGGAGACTGGAGTACAAACCCCTTCTCCTTGGGAACTCACCGGTCTCTGGAGCAAAAGGCCAAAGGCTGCTTCCTACAGTGTTACCCCTGGAAGCAGAGCCCTGGTTTCCTGGGGCACATCTGTTCCTCTGGAACTAAAGCCTTGGTCTTGCAGTGAACCCTGCAACACTCGGAGCCAAGACTGGTCCCTTGGTGAACAGCGTACCAGGGAAACACTGGGATTGCTGGACTGGCTTCAAAGAGCTTGAGAAATGACCTTTTGGAAAACGGAACTGCAACCCATTGGGCAATATGATCAAAGTCACCATAGAAGCCCCCGCCCCCAGTACCATTTTTTTTCCTCTGTGGAAAGAGGTAAGTTGAGTGTGATCTAATGGTCACTATCAGCCTTCAGGACAGAAACTGCCACTCTTACCTCTTGGGGAATGTATCTGCTTTCTCTTAGTTTTCCTGCCAGAAAATAGTGAGAGTGTAGCAGACGTATCACATTCCTTGATGGTGGTGAGCTTGTTGTGTCTGTTAGGAACTACAGGGGTGCCAGAGGTGGACTGTGCCCCAACTTGCTGCTCCCTTTCAATCTCCCCACTCATCTGTTGTCTTTGTCTGTAGCCTCATTAGTGTCTCCTCTACCGTACTTCCTGGTGCATTCTGACCCATGCAAGCTTTGACTCAACAGGGTGACCTCACAGCAGGCTGACCTGTCTGCCCTCTGGTTTACCAGAAGTTGTGCTTCAGGTAACCTGAAGTCATCACTTTCCAGACAGCCTACATCCATTCCACTTCACAAACACGTCATCCTCCTGCCACCGTCACCTACTCGTCCGACTTGCTGTTTCGCGTGGGTAAATTACCTGTGAGAGAGTCGAGTGGAATGGGCCTTTGTATATACTGCATTTGAAAATCACTAGGTTAGGTGATTAGCAAAGACAAGTCCCCAAATCTCAATGACTCCACATATGCCCTCTTGCGTGGGCACATCTCAATGGAACACGGGTAAGAGAGGCTCCCTGTAGTGAGAACACTGGCTTTAGGATACCAAGAAAGAGAAAGCAAGATCTGAAGAATGGCTTGTGAAGAGTTTAGGGGCAGGACTGGAGAGTCTGACAGACCACTAGGACCCAGTAATCAGATCCAATTGGGATCAATTGGAATCCAGTAACCTATGACTGAGTATGGTAACCCACAACTAGAATCTCACTACTTGGCAGCCTGTGGCAGGAGAATAGTGAGTTATGAAGCCAACCTGAGCTATATATTGAGTGGGAGGCCAGCCTGGGCTACAAAATAAGACCTTTTCTTTAGACAAAACAGTCAACATTTTCCGTGTATTATAATTTTTGCAATAGCCACAGAGCTTCTGGCACTGACTTGTCTCTTTGAAGCCAGCTTTCTTCTTGATTTTGACCCTTCACCTGGTATACGGTATCTTTATTCCTTCCATATTAGTGTGTGACTGGGGCTGGAAACACTTAGACACAGACAGACAGTGACATACAGTGTCAGTTTACACTGCACTGACAGGTAAAAATAGAAGATTATAATCTCAAACCACATCCTTCCCACTCTTGCTCCCATAGCCCCAGGGGTACCAGCCTTGAAGCGCAAGGAGAACTTCTGCCTGGTCACTCTTTAGCTCTCTGGGGCAAGTCACCAGCTCCGATCTCACCGAAACCAGACAGGCAACGTGAACAAATAAAACAGGGCGAGAGTGCCAGGACTGAGGGATGAGGAGACAAGGACAGAAGGACAGAAGGACAGTAGCGTCCTGCAAGGGAAAGCTGCTTGGCAGCCCAGCCAGCTGCTCCCAAGTTAGAATAGAACATTGAAGCTGGGAGCTTCTCCCTTCCACACCTTCATCCCCACCCCCCACCGAGGAAGCCAGAAGTATGAAGTCTTTGATTTACTTTTCACAAACATCACACAAGAAATAAAACACAAAGTGCAATGAAAAAGTCTCTTGCTGAATGATCTTAAGGGCTATCAGCATTACAGGTGGGTGAGAGTACATCCATGCTTCTACTTCACATTTACAGCTTCAAATAATTCACGATTATAAATTCCCAATTTATAAACTGAAATGGCTCTTTTGTTTTTTTTTTAGAGAGAAGCTTATAAATTGACTGAGAATTCTTTTTTGCTTTATTCCCCCAAATTTTGATTGCATTACTATTAAATGTTGGTTTTTGCTGTTGTTATCACTACCGACATTATCTCTATTTATCTTATGAAGATAAGAAAATTAACACTCCTTTCGTCTCCCTTCTCCTTCATACCTCTTTTGATCTGTTAGTTGTACCATTATTTACTTATGTAAAATTTATATTATTTAAAATTTATACTCGTACAGTTAATTACAAATTTATGTTCTAGACTTTATATGAAAATATAGAAGTAAGCAAAACTTTTAATATTACAATTATAGAACTGTGAACAATGATGTCCTCCTGTTTTGCTGATTGTCAATATTTCTAAATGAAGGCCCAGTGGAATTCTTTCATTGCAAAGGATTTATTTCTCAGAATCCGTCTACATCATGATTTTCTTCATACTGGACCCATGGTTTCCATACACAGATCTTTGTCCTTCCATGAATTTCCCATTTTCATTTTCTTTATTGCCAGTACAATCTCTCTTTTCTGTTTCAGCATCATGTTAATCTTGCCTCATAGGACATCATATGCTGAAGTTAACCCATTTGGTTTTGGAAATATTGTAGTAGGAAATCATTTTATGGTTATGACTGGTTTTCTTCTCACATGCCACAAAGACTAACCTGATAGGATTCTTTCCATTAGAGTGTGAAATGTGTATATTATTTCTTAGCTCCAATGGCTTCATTTTTTATCTCATTTTAATCTATGTCTGTAGCCTATCATGTGTGAGTCTCTGTCTTCATATGACTGGGGAAAACAATACTTGTAAAGGATCAACGCTATGTTTTTAAAGAACAAAAATGAGTGGATAGCCCATCATGTGTTTGGGCATGCCTTTATTACAAGCAATCACTACAGGCTAGTTATTTGTCTTTAGTTTGGAAAAAGTTCTGATTTTCTTGGTGACAAGATGTGGCTTTTCCAACTTGTATCCAATTAACACTGTGTATTTCTTTAGAACGGATGCATTTGTTCTTTAGAACGGAAGCTTTTGGATCCTCTGATATAAATCTGAATTTCCCTTCTTTTTCTTTCATAGACATATAATTTTCTTCAGTTTTTGGGTCTTGGGCTCTGTTTAAACATGGGGTTTCTTGACATGCCCAAAGTAGTTCGACACATTTTTAGAAATGTCCCAGTTAAATATCTAAGAACTCTGGTTATATAGTTTCTCTTTTCTCATAGTGGTTTCTTGAGTATTTTTTTTTTTTTTTTTGCTTTTTGGTTGTGTGAGCCACACCTTTCTGAATTTGAAATTACAATTCTACTCGGGTGATTGCCTCTGTTACTCTGAGATTGTTTGTTCCAGTCACTCTTATTTTCTATTGGCCTTTGTCTTGTTTTGCCTTGCTTTGCCTCCTTTGGCCTGCCTCCCCTCCTCTCTCCGCCCTGTCCTCCTTCCTCCTTTTCCCTCCCCTGTCCTCCCTTCTTCCATCCCTTTTACTCATTCTCCTCCTCCTGGTCTTTCCTCCTCCTTTTCTCATTGCTGAGGATTGAATTCCCAAGGCCTTAGACAATGATAGGCACGCACTCTACTTCACCCCCAATGCAGTCCTTCCTTTTGATGGTGGTTTTCCCCAGATGACTGGTGTTTGATTGTCTAGTTAATGTTGTGAATAAAGACTCTATTGATGGATGTAACTAACGGAGGGAGAGTTTTCTCCTGCCTGCAAACACACAGAAGCAACAGATAGATGTATGCCCTTGCTCTTGATATCAAACCATGTTGTTTTGGTGAACTCATTCTGAGGGATTCTCTTAAGAAAACAGGAATCTGTAAAATTTTAGTGTGATTTTATTCCTATAAGCCATTTTCTTTACTTATACATATCATTTTAAAAATAAACTTAATTATAAAAATAAACTGTAAAGAAATAAGAACATCACATGCCAAAATTGTCTAGACCCCAAATCTGCACAACTTAATAAACTTATGTCTAGTTATACTTAGCCTTCAAAACAGAATCTGTGAAACTTCACACTAAATTCTAAAGTATTGAATTTATTTTATGCATTTATATACCACCAAAGAACAAAAAAAATATACCTAACAAAGTTCAATGTAATAGCAGTTCTACATAGGATATAATATATATAATATAAATATATTTATATGTCTTATATAGATATATATTGGAATAAATGCTCTCTGCCTTCATCCCTGTGTGGTTCTAGCCCCAGATCAGAGGATTTTGCTATGTGAAATTCCTGGGTAATGCAGCCTGCCTGTCTCAAGGTCCCACGGTTGAATCAGTTATTCTGTGAACACACCAAAACTATTCTATTTGCTCATCTGATCCTGCAGTGATTTGAGTATGTCGCTTTCATTTAGCCAGTCTGTTATGACACAAACATGATTATAATGAAATAAGAAAACACATTTCCTCTGTGGATTTTCTTCAGCTCTAATTGCATCAAACGGAAACATCAATCTATTTGGAAATGGGAGGAAATTACATAAGGATCAGGTAGCATACAGATGTAGTCAACTTCAATAATTTTATGATGACTAAATATGATAGTCTTAATTTTTACTGAGGCTACTAAAATCTCACTGGGAAATGGACTCCTCAATATTTGGTAAAATGGAAACACGAAGATGCCCTGCTTTCATGTGAGAAAAAATTAAGATGCAAATATGTGTGAGGTATAAAAAAAAAGTGGGCTATCTGTTCCATTAACACGGATTCTTTCTCTGAGAATTCCCTCCAGGGATCTCTGTCTGCTCTTTTTCATTGTTGCTATAGATTGGTCAACAAGGAGCTTTATTCATCTGAAATTTTAAGAGTCTGTCTCAAGGGAACTGACACTCCAAGTCTCCTGGCTGTGTGTGTGTTGTTTTTTTTGTTTTGTTTTGTTTTATTTTTGCTTTTTAAGTTACAAGTGAGTGAAAACTAAAATGCCCATGGAGTCGAACATGTTGGGTAGTACCCATCTATATCATACTATGTGGAAAGACAAACAGAAATAACCATGACAGGCCTAGAGAACCAGAGGGGCCCGGAACCACAAGAGGGACATCATGGGGCTTTTGTCGCTAATTCCCACTCCATTAGTGGTCTGGTGTTTGTCTTCATCTGAATCCCTGGAATCTGTTTTTTTGTTTGTTTGTTTGTTTGTTTGTTTGTTTGTTTGCGTAGGCTGGGTCGAGGCACTTTGCTACTGCTACCCAAGCTAAGCAGAACTGTGCCGGTTTGAACGAGAATGGTCCTCATAGGCTAATCTATTTGAATGTCCGGTTCCCAGGCAGTAGACTATTTAGGATGGATTAGGAGGTATGGCCTTGTTAGAGGAGGTGTGTTAGGATAACAGAAAATTTGAATATATATGTATTTTTTAATTCCTAGGAAAAATGCAAGCGTATCTTTCTGAATACATCTACTTAGCTGAGAACAAACTTGAAGTCAGTTAACCAACAAGAATTATCCAAATTACCTTCCAAGTTTGTGTGCCCTGAATTTCCTCACCATACTTAACAATGCATGTAGTCACGCATTTCACTTGTTTATAAGGCCGTGAACCACATGCTCCAGTCCCAGAATGCCTAGCAAAAATAACTCAGAAGTCAAAAAGCCGTTTCAAGAGACTTAAGAGAATCTTACCTCCGTTTCTGGAATAGCACAAAGATGGTCCTGACCCACACTGTTACACCGTAAAAGCTTTCTGGTCTTGTTTCGGGCAGCACAGTTATCCGAATCTTATTCCCAAGTCCGAAGTCTAAGCACGGGGCGGTTTTCTTACTGCTTCCTCCCTGCCAGTCCACCCCAGATCACATCACTGGGGACCAGAAGAATCAACCCGGCAACTTTGGCTTCTCAACAGCCAGTAGAGACAGGAAAAACTTAGAGCTCCCTGGCAGAATTCTCTTAAAGATAAAGGAGAGAGGAATGACTGAGATATTCTTAAATGAGCAGATTCCCTTTATTATCAAATTGTTTTGATTTTATTATTATTTATTTGTTGATTGATTGACTGCTTCTTGTTGTTGTTTTTAATCAGAGGGTCAAAAGCCAGCATCTGATCTTACACTGAGCTACATTCCCAGACCACATTTTTGATTTTTTAAATGACCGTCTTACTGTATCTTTCAGGGTGACCTAAAACCAATCATTTCAGGTGCCAGAATTCTAAGCATCCACTACTATAGTTTCTTCTATGAGAAAACTGGAAACTTTCCCATGCAGTCATTTATCCAGAATTTTGCTATTTTTCTCTCTAGGCATTCGCAAAGGCCCCTGGATCAGACTTAATATTGCCCAGTATAAAGTTGAAAGATACAGGTAATACAACAGCTGATTTATTTTCAACCTTTCATAAAATGAGAATACACGGAGTTTATTTATTTTGCCTTAAAAGCTATAGGAGGCCTTTTTCTCAAGCATCACAGTTCAGTCTCACAAGGAGAAAGGCAGAAGAGAAAGTTGCTGGAATCCTCTGGACTGTATAGCCCAGAAGAGGAAAGGCCTGAAGAGTTCTTTTGCCCAGTTATTGGCTTTCAAGAAAGCAGAGGAAACAGACAGACAGACAGGAAAGAGGCTGAGTGTGCTTAGAACATTTTAGTCTACCTCAGGAATGGTGGCACACACCTTTAATCCCAACACTAAGTAAGAAAGCAGAGACAGGCAGATGCCTGAGCTGAGACTAGCCAGATCTGCAGAGCCAATTCTAGAATAGTTAGAGCTACACTGAGAAGTCCTGAGTCAAAAAACCAAAAAGAGAAACAAAAATCAAAACAACAACAATAAAACAAAATCAAGCAAGGAAGGAAAGAAAGAAGGAAAGAAGGAAGAAAGGAAGGGAATGAAAAAATTGCTTAAGAGAATTCAAGTAAGCATTCCTAATGCATTTTGGTCCATAATGAACTGCTTTGGAGTGTGGCGGTCCCAGTTTCTTGGGCAGTTCTCTCACAGGTGAGAAGGTACCTTGGAAGTTATAATGATGTCTCTCAGAGTTTATCTGATTCAGGAATGAGGCATGGATGAGTTTAGGGTATTTTTATCTTCAAAGACAACGACATTAATTAAACGGTAAACAGTGTTTTGATCCCCCCCAAAAAAATAGAAACAAAGGAACCCAGAGTGACATCCGCCATGCTCATGAGGGTGGATAAGCCAGTCAGACAAACTTCCCAACAATGTTTTAAGGTAGATCGAAGCACAAGGCCCCAAATGTTAGCAGTGAAGGAACAAAGCCTTAGCTGAACATCGTCATCCTCGGCAGCCTGAGGAGTTTCCCCAAGCATTTAGGGACTTCAACTCAGGCCAAATCTGGATTCGTGGCTTTGACACTGAAGAGAATTGTAAAAGTTGCTCACATAAGAAAGATATCTTAATATAGGCTTAAGCATGAAGGTTAAGAGCAAGGGAACAACTTAAAAAGAAATTAAGACATGCGTGTGGAGGTGCACTGGCTTTTCAAGGGAAAATAGTCTTTCCAAGTGGGAATTTTTATATAGTATAGTTTTTGTCTTAAACTAGGGCAGTAAAAGGTAGGCATGGTGGCAAAGCCATTAATCCCAGCACTCTCGAGGCAGAGGAAGGTGGGTCTCTGTGAGTTTGAGGCCAGCCTGGTCTACAGGGTGAGTGCCAGGACAGGCTCCAAAGCAATACAGAGAAACCCTGTCTCGAAAAACCAAAAAAATACAAACAAAAAAGGGGGAGCATTAAAATATTCTCTTTGATACAGAGTTTTGTCCTGTTAGCCAGTAAAGAACGAAAATGAAAAATTCAGAGACAGATCACAGAGCTGCTCTCGTGCTTTATCTTTAGCTCAGCCAGTCCCTCTAACCTTTTAAAATCTCTTTCACACAATACATCCCAACCACAGGTTCCCCTCCCTCCACTCCTCCCAGTTCCCTTCCCACACATTTCCCCTCTCCTTCAGATCTACTCCTCCTCCATTTCCCTTTAGAAAAGAGCAGAGCCTGCAGGCATATCAACAGAACATGACATCACAGTTTATAATAAGAGTGGGCACAAACCCTCATATCAAGGCCGGAAGAGGCAGCTCAATAGGAGGAAAAGGGTCTCAAGAGTAGGCAAAAGAGTCAGAGACACCCCTACTTCCCCTGTTAGGAGTCCCACAAAGACATCAAGCTAGCAACCATAAAATATTTTCATATTTGCACAGGACCTAGACAGTCCCGTGCAGACTCCTTAATTACCACCTCAGTCTCTTTGAGCCCCTATGGGCCCAGCTCAGTTGACTCTGTGGGTCATGTTCTCCTGGTGTCCTCAACCTCTTTGACTCCTACAGTTCTTCTTCTTCCTCTTTCAAGAGATTCTCCAAGCTCTAAGGGAAGGGACCTAGTGAGATCTCGAATTTGGATTCTCTCTCCACCTTCATGTATATCTGGGCATCACCTGCATTCTCGGTGTCCCAGAAGGTCAGAAGATGGTATCCAATCCCCTACAACTGGTGTTTGTGAATGGTTGTGAGCCACTGTGAGGATGTTGGAACTTAAACCTTGCCCCTCTGCAAAAATGGCAAGGGTCCCTAACAACTGAACCATTTCTCCAGCTATTCATTTTTGCCGTAATACTTACAAGTTGAATGAAAATATTTATCAAACATAAAATCAACTGGAATAACAAATATTTGTTTTCTTTTTTCCAAATATTTTCTAATTCTTTAGATAGGATTTGGGAGGAATTTACAGAAAAAGACTGCTAGCAAATTAACAAACTAAATGGTCAGAGACTAAAATGTCTTCAGAGGGCTGGAAGCAAATAGATGACAGCAACAACAACAACAAAAAACTCCAGATCAGAATAGTCAGAAACTAAGATACTTTAAAGCCAACCAACAAAATGAATGCTGTAAAGTAAACCCCAACCCAGGAGATATTTACTAAATAGAATTCTAAACAATTAGCTCAGAGTAAACAGCCAGTGGACTCCTGAACAAACTCATGGAGATCTGCGTGCCCCAAATACTTACCAAATCTACCCTAGGAAATAATGTCAGACCCTGTGGACAAGGGGCCCATGATGCTGTTACATGCCTCCAGTGCATGTGACTTTTTTTGGTGAACTGTAGATCATTCTTGGCACTCTGTGGTGGCCACCATAGCTTTCAAAGCAAAAACAGATCTCTTAGCTCCCTACCTCCCTACGTCCCTCCCTCCCTCCCTCCCTTTGTTCATTTGTTTCTTTCCTTCTTCCTTCCTTTCTTTTCTTCTTTGATTAGTTTTGAAACTCTGCCTCACTAGGAAGCCCTGGCTAACATGTAACTTGCCTTAATCCTCCCACTGCTTTTTTTCCGAGTGCTGTGATTTCAGACCTATAATCCCATGTTCAGCTTGATTGTCAGTAGAAGTGCCTAGTTAGGTAAGACATCTCAAACTAAATTGGTCCAAATTGGTGTTTTTATTTTTATTTCATTTTTTTCTCAAACTGGTATTTTTAAAGGTTAGGAATAGTAGGGAATTTATTTTAATAAGATGAAATAATTTCAATTTGTATCAGATAAAATATGAGTTAAAGGGAACACTGAATTAATTCATATGACTGAATGAAAATTTGTCTTTAATACTAAACAACCCATAAACTTCTAGAAAATAAATAATATAAAGATACTACATAATACAAGGAAGACTTCTTTGATGGTTTGATTCTAAGCAAATTAAGTTTTGTCAGTGGACAGACACTTCACAACCCAGAATCTTTGGAGACTCAAGGATATAACAAGTAAATATTTTATTTCACTCCAGAGTCTGGCTACATAGAATATTTTAAACATATTTTCTAGGCTGTCAACCAGGTTTTAGCTTCCCCAAGTCATGTGGAGATAAAGTTCCTCAATCCATTTTTAGGGTACTCTATTAGCCATTAGCTTCCTTTGTTGTGACAACACCAAATTAATCATTCCATGCAACTTCCACTGGTCTATATACCGTATTGAAAGTCACACATATGTTACAATACACATTTATGGGGCAAACCCCCAGATGTAGAAGTCCCAAAAGTCTAGAGTTGGTCATAAGTCCAGGATACAGAGATGAGTAAAGGTGTCATTTAGAAGAAGGTGATTTACTTTATGTGTACATTGTAAAGAAGAGCTTTGGTGGTTTTCAAGAAAATGGCCTCTAAAGGGAGTGGCACAATGAGGAGGTGTGGCCTTGCTGGAGGAAGTGTATCACTGTGAGGGTGGGTTCAGAGGTCTCTTTTGCTCAAGCTTCCCTTGGTGTGACTGTCAGTTGACTTCCTGTTGCCTGTAAGATGTAGCATTCAGCTAGCTCCAGCAACACGTCTGCCTGTACACTGCCATGCTCCCCATCATGATTTCAATTGACTGAACCTCTGAAACTGTAAGCGAGCCACCCAATTAAATGTTTTCTTTATAAGAGTTGCTGTGGCCATGGAGTCTCTTCGGAGCAAGAGAAAACCTAAGATAGAAGCCAATACAGGAGTCCCCCCAACTCCAACTTCATCTTGGGCTTGAGACAATGAGTAAAGGAGAATGGTTTTCTTACCCGGTGACGGCTATTTGCATGGCCGCATATGTGTGGATTTGTGTAGTCTTGGCATCTGAAGAGAATAATCTTCTGAAACTCAATCCTAACTCTCAGGAGCGACTTTTATTTAAGAGGGGGGAGCAGGGTGCTGGTGAAAGAGAGCCACATTGGCAATAGTCCTGTTGAGGTCTGCCCTGAAAAGGAAACAGAACTACTTCTTAGCAATGAAATGGCTGTTCTCTATTTTGCAAACTTGCAATATTCTGCGCAGTGCCTATTACTGTCCAAGGAGGAAGAAGCCAAAGACAATAACATTTTAGTAACACTAGGTCATATAAATTTATTGACATCGTGCATATGGGATGAAATGTGTGAACTTATTAAAGATAATTGAAGTCACATGCCAAATATGGAAGTAGGGCTCATTGTTTTTAATTTGACCAAGTCCCATTAAACACCAAAAGTCCTTCACAATTAACTCCATTATTAATACAATGACTATTGTATTTACTGGTTTTTTGGTACATAATAAAATGTTCTATAATATAAAAAATTAAATGTAAAGTTTTCACAGTGTATTTACATGTTAAATTTATTACTGTTATATTTATGTTTATTATTATTATTGTGTGTCTAATGTGTGAGTTTGAATGTGGGTGCATGTGTCTCGTAGGGAGACAAGGACAGTTTCACGACTCAGTTCTCTTCTTCCACGATGAAACCTTGTTTCAAAGAGACTACTATGCCCTCAAACTGACCCAGTAACAGTCATATTGAACCAATGTATTTTAAATGGAAGTAATATGACCTATGTTTAAAATTTCT